CACAAATTTGCATAAATGACATTTGACTAGATGCTACTTCTTAAAAGTCATAAATGCCTTTCTTTGAAACACTTTATAGTCCATTTCCTGCAGGATTTTAAGGGTTGTTTTGTTTTTTTGAGACAAGACTTCACTGTGTAGCTGTCCTGGAACTCATTCTGTAGATCAGGCTGACCTCGAACTCACAGAGACACCTCCCTCTGTGATGGAAGATGTCCTTCTGTACATATGTTTCTCTTATTAGTTGATGAATTAAACACTGATTATCCAGTAGCCAGGCAGGAAGATAGGTGGGGCTACGAGACCAGGAGAAGGCTGGGGGGAGGAAAGTAGGGAAAAGTCGCCAAGAGATGCCATGCTGCTGAAGGAGTAACATGCCGGATTACGGATAAGCCATAGCCTCGTGGCAATACATAGATTAAAAGAATTGGGTTAATAATTAAGACAGAGATAGCCAGTAAGATGGCCCTAGCCATTGGCCAACAATTTATAAATTAATATAAGTCTTTGCCTGTTTATTTGGGGCTAAATGGCTGCAGGACCAGGTGGGATAGCAACCTGCCTTCCAACTGCTGGGATTAAAGCTATGCACCACCACTGCCTGGCTTAAGTTTTTATTAACAATCTTTTTCTATTTTTCTAGTATCTATACTGGTATCTTCTTTTTATTCTGAGTCATGTCTTAACATGGATTGTGAGATATTACTGTTTCACTGGCTCTTTCTCTTGAGTTTGTGTATATGTGTGTGGGTCCACATGTGCCAGAGGTCCACATTAGGTGTCTCCTGAACCACTCTGCAATTTAATTTTTTTGAGTCAGAATCTGTCACTACAATTTTAGCTCACCAATTGGCAAGATGGGCTCTCCAAAGAAGCTTGGGGATTTCTATTTCCCCCAGTCACTGATAGGTTTACAGATAGGTCTTTCCTTCCAGTATGTGTTCCAGGAATCAAACTCAGATTGTCAGGTTTGTATGGCAAGTGCTTTTACACGCTGAACCATCTCACTCACCTAAATCGTCTGTAAATGATTTTTATTTTATTTTATTTTTTATTTTTATTTAAATGATTTTTATTTTCTAGGGCTGCCATAACAAAGCATGCCACAGTACTAGAAGGCCAAGGTCAAGGTCTCTTCAGGGTGGGTCCCTTCTGAGTTTTTCAAGAGTCTGGTCCATTTTCCTTCCCTGGATTCTGGTTGTTTATGCAACCTTCTGCATTGTGTGGCTTGTTTGTGTGTGTAGGACTCTCATTTCTGCTTTCATCATCACATGAAATTCTCCCTATTACTTCTTAGCCACACAAGGTCCAAACCCACCTTCATGACCTCTTAATTTGAGCTGTAGCACAGACCCCATCTTCAAACTTGCAGCCCTCCCATCTCAGCCTTCCCAGTGCAAAAATTACAGGTGTGTATCACATGCCTGCTCATAAATATTTTTAAAAAGTGTTTTAGATGCTAGAAAATTGTATTTCTTTAAAAAATGTCAGTTTTTCTCTATAGTTCTAACAACTGTATTGCTCTGCAATTCTGCTCGTGCTTATCTATTACATCTGTCCAATTGTGACAAAGTATGATAGTACTCCATCATAGTTATGCTTTACTGAAGTATTCCTACATGTCAAGTAGTTTTTCCATTATACATTTAATCACTTGTACTTATGACTTTTGACTTTATTAGCCAGGATTCTCACAATAATTGGGAGTCTCTCTTTTCACATATCAGAAGACTTCAAAGCATTGGCTCACATGAGACAGAGGCTGAGTGGCAACTGAGGGTGGAGCAGCACCCCTTCCTCTGGGTAATTTCAGCCTTTTGAAAGCCTACAACTGATTGCATAAGTCTTACCTGCACCAGGGAGAAGGATGGCTTTATTCAAAGTCCATCAATTTAAATGTCAATTTCATCTAAAATTATTTTCACAGCCTTATCTAGACTGCTGTTTAACCAAAACCTGAGTTTTATAGCCTGGCCAAGTTGGTATATAAAATTTTGCTGACTTTAACTTAGTGCCGATCATCCAAAAAGTCAGAGTGAAGCCTCACACAGCACTCAGCAGACTGCTGTGTCCTCAGACATGCAGATGGGACATTTAGCTTCCTCCCTAAAGTTTCTGTTTTTCAGCTTTGCTTCCAAGTTTCCACTTTCCTCTCCTGTGAGTGACCTTGGCTAGCATTAGGACCCAACAGCTGCTATTTTACCCAAGCTTTCACAACCAGAGGTCTTCTTGTGTTCACAGTAAGCATACAAGCAGAGGGCTGTGGTGATATCTTTCTTGCACCCCCAGACAGGTTTTATTTGTGCACGAAAGATATCACAGAGGGCAAAGAGATGCTTTCTTTTTTATTTTATTTTATTTTCCAGTTTAAATTTAGATAAGAAACAAGGTTGCTTCACAAGTCAGTTCCAGGTAAAGAGATGCTTTCATAGCAACTCTCTGGGGCATCAGGACTTATGGGATGCTTAAACTGTTTGGACTGAGGAGGGCTCCCTGAATGGCAGCTTGGGCCCCTCCCTGATTGCCCTTGGGAACAAGAGGATAAGCAGCTGAAACAGCAGCAGTGTTGCAGCCTCGTTCTGTATTTTGAGTGTACTTTTTATTTTGCACCTGTTTAATAAACCTGACTCAATCACAGAGATCCCACCCACTTTAAGCTAGGAGTGCTCATTGGCTAATATTGCTAGCATCATCTCTCCCCAAAGTGGTTTATAGATCGAATGCAATCCCAATTAAATATTAGCAAAGTAGTGTTCTAACATCTGTGGCAATACAACAAACTTAGATTATGTAAAACAATTTTGAAAAAGAACAACAGCAATTTACAGTACCTGATTTCAAGACGTACATAGCTACCGTAGTGAAGACATTATGATGTAAAATAAACTAATTGTCTTAGGCAGATTGGATACAATAGCAAAGTACCATTGACTTGATGGCATAAACCACAGACATTTATGGCTCTAGCGTCTGGGAAGTCTAAGATTAAGGTGTTAAAAGATTCCACTCTTGATCCTCCTGGCTTGAGCATGATTATCTTCTCATGGCAGTCTCACAATGTAGAGAAAGGAGACACTGAAGTTTTTTCTTACAAGGGCACTGATCCCATTACCAAGGCCCCAAACTTATGACCACTTTGAAACATAACTATCCTTGAAGGCTCCGTTTCCTAACACTGTCCCTTTTTGGGACAGGGCTTCCATATATGACAAGAAGTATAGAGACAAGCATTCAGTCCTTTGCGATAACTGACATGGTGCTACCAAAAATGCAGATGTAGGCTCATAAACATATTGCCACCTGATTTTCTACAATAGCACCAAGGTATTTCAATGGGGGAAAAGACTGTCTTGACAACTGTGGTGCTGGACAAATGGGATATCCATCCAGAATGTTTTTTAATTGGCTTCACACAAGGCACAAAATGGGTGATAGAGGTAAACCTAAGAGATAAAACTACAGACCTTTATAAAGACTGAAAGGGGGTTTTCATCTGTGTGGTATGGCCCTATTGCAGAAGATGGATAGAATGAAGGTGGAAGTTTCTTCTCTAGCCATGCCCAGGTGTCAGTGGGGTGAGTCAGTGGGTGAACATTGGTCTAGGTCTTCTGACTAAGCAAAAATGCATTTTGAAGCTCTCATGTGACTCTGCACAATAGAGATAAATGTACAACCTGTAATTTCTTACCCTTTTCTTTCCTTTTCTCCAACTTTGTTAGGTTGCTGGGAGCACCTTGAAATTTAGAAGGAAAATCCAGAAACTCAGTGTGATATAGGTTTCATTTTAATTTTGCAGTGTGGGCTGTTTGATGTTAAAGGGGAGCCATCTTTTAATTCTCCCCCAATTGATTATTAGCACTCCTCCCTGATAGGAAACAGGAGCAGGTTGGTAAACTTGCTATGGCCACACAGTTCCCAGAGTAATTAGACCTCATACATATATATATATATATATATATATATATATATATATATAGCCTGTTTTCAGTTCTAGCACCATTTGACTTAAAAACAGTTGTTTAAAAGTCTGTGTGAAGAAAAAGGGGAGAATGTTTTACATTAACAGAAGTTCAAAGCTGACTGTGGTGGCACAGGCTAGTCCTGTACTCCAGAGGTGGAGGCAGTGTAATCACTTGATTCCAGGGCTTCAAAACAAGCTCAGTGAGACCCCACCTGAAAAATAAAATAAAGTAAAACCCAACCCAAACAAACAAACAAAACAAAACCCCAAAACTATCAACAACAAAATCCAAGTCATGAAAAGTTCTATAGGCAAACATAATATAATGTTTTAGTAACTTTTTGTTGTTGCTAAGAGTTCTTAACTGGCTGGGTGGTGGTGGCGCACACCTTTAATCCCAGCACTCAGGAGGCAGAGGCAGGCGGATCTCTATGAGTTTGAGACCAGCCTGGTCTACAGAGTGAGTTCCAGGACAGCCTCCAAAGCCACAGAGAAATCCTGTCTTGAAAACCAAAAAAAAAAAAAAAAAAAGAAAGAAAAAGAAAAAAGAGTTCTTAACTGTGATCTCCTCCCCCAAAATACAAACTAAAATTTTTAAGTGCATAGTTTGGAATAAAATTATTTGTTAAAAATATATTTGATGATGAATTGATATTTCTAATTCCTTTGTAAGAAGACAACTCAATTAAAATGGGCAAGAGATCAGCACACTTTTCAAAGGAAATATGAATGGTCAACAATTACATGCAAAAATGTTCACTGTTTTAGTCATGAAGGAAATGCAAATCAAATCCACAATGAGTTACAACTTCCCACACACTAGAATGGTAACACTAAGACAGACAACAATAAGTGTTGATGAAGGTTGGGGAAACTGAAACTCTCATACAACAGCTATTGGTGATATGAAATAATGCATGTGCTTTGGAATAGTTTGGCAGTTCTTCCCCCAAGTTAAACAACATGTCACCATATGAGCCAGCTCTTTCACTCCTAGCTATATGCTCAAGGGAAATAAAAACACATTCACACTGGAATGTGGATATAAATACTCATAGCAGCTTTATTTGTCTCAAACTGGAAAGAATGTAAATATTAATTAATTGGCATCAACATATATTGGAGGCATGTATACAATGGAATAAATATGAAGTGTGAATATACACACAAACACCTGGAAACATCTTACAAAATAGCACTGAGAGTCCAGACAAACACTGTGGAAGTTCATTTATATAGAAGTTAATCGCTAGTGATGGAAAGCAGTGGTTGTAAGGACAGGGGACAGGGAGGGGCAGAAAGCAGGAGTTATTGGCTAAGATGCTGAATGTTCACTGACTTGAGAGTAAGGATTGTTCTAAGAGTACAGACACCCATCACAATCCACCCACAATTGCACACTTTAAGCTGTATATACACCTATCAATTTACTAAAGACCGTTAATGAGTCAGGAGCCTCCCAAGTGCACAGTAAGCCTTCATTTTTGCTCTCAACATTCCCAAGTGATGGAGAGGGACCAGACTTAACGTTACTGAGCACAAAAGGAGGCATTGTTCTAAAAAATGTGCAAGGCTTTGAACTTGATGGTGCTTTTAATATAAGACTGTAAGAATCTGCAGAAGTCAGGCATGGTGCCCAAACCTGTAATTCCAGCACTTAGGAAGTAGAGGCAGAAAGGTTAAGAGTGCAAGGCCAGCCTGGGCTCCATAGAGTTACACAAGCTTAAAGCAACAGTCCCCCAAAGAAACCCCCTTTACAAAGAAAATGTCCAGAAATCTCAGAGGGCCATTGTTTTGTGAAATCAGAGATGAATTAGGACTCACAAGAACATGAAGCTAGCTATAAATGCCAGGGCAAGTGGGGACTCAGAGGAAGATGTGTGGGACCCCTTCCTCTTTTTTCACACTACCTCTTCATGGTGGCCATCTCTATGTGGATATTTCACAGACCTAAAATGTATCTAGATGACCATAGCGGCTGGTAAGGTGTGCACTCATGCCCATAGTAGATGTCATTAACACTAACTGCGATTTTTGTTTACGAAAATTGTTCCTCATCTGGGATCAGCTAGAGTCTGACTTTCTACACGTCATCCTAGGCGCTCCATACTGCAGACTAATGGAGCTCCTGACTCAGAACTGTCCTAGAGAAGCCTGTGTGCATTCTGAGCTTCCCTAATACACTTCATCCTCCCCACTCCCAACCAAGGCACTCTTCAGCAAGATTCCCTGCCCCCACACACACCTGAAGTCCCTACTGTCTGGAAAAATCTGCTCCATATCTGGAAAGCTGAAAGGGTGAATGCTTCCATGTTGCCTGAAACTTGGTAGCAAATAAAAAAAAACAAACAAAAACCAGAAGGCAGGTATAGTGGTGCATCTTAGGATACTGATGGAGTTTTCTCTTAAGGAAACTTACACAAATCTGGTCTCAGAGTTGCAGCATGGGGTCCTGTGAGAACCTGCACCCTGGGCAGATAAGGCAGGGCCTCCCACATGGGAAGCAAACCCTTCCCCAAAAGTCTAGCATCACACGAGGGTCTTTTTAGGTCAGATGTGACTGTTGCCTGTGACCTTGAATCCACTACCTTTATTTACTTTAATCCTGGGAACAGCTCCTCTCCACATGGGAAAGCCCCTTTCCAAGTAGCTGTCTTTTTTTTTCAACCAACAAAAATGTTGAAAATTATACCTAATGATAAATTCAGAGAAGATCATCTTGCAGTTTCCTGGAGACACTGCTAGGCCATTCACACAGCAACTGAAAAGCAGTCAAAGTCTTACAAGGAAAATAGTCCAAAGGTAAGGTATGGGGGAACAGGAAGAGGGTAACTGGAAAACAACAGGAGTTTTGACAGTTTAAACTTTTATAATCTAGTTGCCCCTCAAAACACACAAATGATCAATCAGCCCCATTCCCCATCCAGCTTGAGGGATGAAGCAATTTTCAGGCACAAAACAAGGAAAAGCACAAGTATCCCTCTGGTTACTCTGGCTTTATTCCAGGAGAAACCCATTCTGTTAATTTTACATACCTGCTTACTATACCTGAGAAAACTCACTGCTCTACCTGCCAGCACGGGGTTTGGAGTGCAGACACAAGACTGAGCATGATACCTAGGAGCAGGAACTAAAGTAGAGAACTGACAAAGAGATGTGTTGCTATGTACTAGGCAACAATTGGGGACCCTGGAACATTTCAGGGTATTCCCCTCTGAAGTGCTCTACACATCTCTCCCTGCAGACCCCACTTTCTGATGAAAACGCCTGCACATGACCCTTCCCCTAGGGACTTATTCTTGGTTATAGGAGCTGGTGACTGGCTTGGAGGATAGGTTTCATTCATTCACTTCCTAGAGTCATGGAAATCAACACCCAAGAGCATGTAACAGAGTTTGCACAGAGCCTCCCACTGTAGGCACCTTCTCTGGATGAGACCTAGTTTCCTCTATCTGTGCCAGGCCTAGCAGAGATCGTCTGAGCAATTAATCCACCAGGGACTTAAAAGGCACTGTTCTTAGCATCTCTTTTTCTATAGGGAGACCTAAGTGACAGATACTCTGGACTACCTCCATGAGCCACTGAAGCTAACCACTACATAGCTCAAATACAGCAGACCAAGAGACCAAGGCTTTTTCACTAGTACTCAGCATGGGGTTTGAAGTGCAGACACAAGGCTGAGCATGATACACAGCTGCAGGCTCACAGGCAAGAGAACAATCACAGGACTAGAAGATGGGGATCTACTAGAAGACAGAGATAAGAGCACGTTACAAACGGGAATTTCACACAAAACATTTTATATACATAAAACCTGTGTGTGTGTATGTGTGTGTGTGTGTGTGTGTGTGTGTGTGTTCTCGCATGCACGTGCACGCCCGTATTCTTATGATCAGGGCTCCAACCAGCATCCTGGGTTTCTAGACCTTCCCATATTTATCAGGATGCAGCTGTCTTTGAGCCTCACTCAAATAGCACAGAAGGTGCTATCACTCTTCTTTGGAGTGCTCAAGAGCTGCCTGCACTTCACCTGTACCACCAACCTGTCTATAGGCAGCCTTTGTGACAAAGTCTTTCTGTCCTCCGGGATAGGAGAGGGTTAGAGAGTAGCTTGCTACCCAGGATGCTGAGGTGACTATACCAAGGGAAAGATCTCCTGGGGACAGCAAAGGAGGACTAGGACTGCCTCTGGCTTCCTTTTCAGTAAAGTTCCAGTTAAAGAGCCAGTCAGGTTTAAAGGAAGGGAGGTGGGAGTTGTCACATCACTCAAAGGGCCAGATTTGCCACCATACCATCAGTCATGGCTTGGGAAGGCAACTTTAATATTCTAAGAAATGTCATCTGATAACTGTCTGACCAGACTCATTTTAGGGGCTACCTAAGTGCAAATTCCTAACCTGTCACCACCACACAATGGGTTGCCTTAAAATAGATTAGCAGACAAATTTAAAGCTTTAGGCACTGGGGTAGAGGAGAAGGAGTGGCCAGTATGGCCTTCACTAAGTGGGAGGGGAGGAGGGGTACAAATACTGCTGTGTTTTACCTAGACCTTTTTCCTGTGAGAGACCAGAGGAAAGGGGCTCCTTTCCCAAAAAGGAGACCCTCAGGGTCCCTTGACCTTAGCCTCTCTGCAAGATTTGGTACAGACCCTCCAAGCAGCAGCAGGGGCACATACATAGTGTCCAAGTTTTCACCGATAGTGTAGCCCTCTTCAATTTATATACTTTTAATGGAATAAAGTGCTTTTAGTATGCTCAAAATAGAAATACAAACAACTCTTAAGGGGAGGCAACCACCCCACTAACACTTTAACAAGAGAAAGGACATGGGTCATCCCTATGTAAACTTCAAAGTAACTGTGCTTAGTGTTGACTGGACACTGCTGCTTTTCTCCCAACCATATCAGGCAATTCTCATAGGGATGGGAGAGATCAACTCTGTATTATGCAAATCTAATCACCTGGAGACCTCACTGACACACCCAAGCACACACAGGAGGACCCTGACTAGGCTTCTTGAGGAGCCTTCCTGTGCAATCTCTAGGCATCAACTGTATAATCAAAGACTAGGGAGGGAGCCTTCCTTTTTTACCCATCAGGGAAGGAAGGAGTAGGGCAGATTATACTGGGTGGGTGGGGCCACCCTGTCATTCTGAGTTGCTTCGAGTAGGAGCCACCCTGTCATTCTGAGTTTGCTGTTTCCAGTCTCAAGGTGAGGATGGGCCCTGGGCCTTCTCAGCACACAGGAAACTTTCATTGCTTTTCGCTGTCGCTTTCCTCTGCTGGCTGGGATTCCAGATCCTGGCTGAGCTGCGACTTCTCCTCCAAACCTGAGGTGCTGGCAGTAATCAGCTTCTGTTTCTTGTCATCTTCGTCATGGATGCGCAAATGGCGACACAGCAGCAACTTGTTATCGAAGACCTGGCAGCAGAGCTCACACACTTGAGGCTTCTCATTGGTGTCAATGGGCTGGGGCTCTGACGAGCTGCCTTCCCCAGTTTCCTGGGGCCATGACCTGCGGAGCCAGCGCCTATGCTCCAGGAGCATGCAGCCATGCCGGAGCCCCTTCCCAAGGCCATGACGCTGTAGCCTCACACCACCATGCACCACCTGGTGCTTGAAGAGGTTGGCCCGGCGACCAAAGGCCCGGCCACATTCGGTGCACTCATAGGGCTTCTCCCCACTGTGCACTCGCTGGTGTTGGCTAAGGCCCGAGTGGCCACGGAAGGCCTTACCGCACTCGCGGCATGAGAACGGCCTGCCACCACGGTGGCTGCGCTGGTGGTGGATGAGCTGCGAAATGCCCTTGAAGGCCTTGCCGCATTCCTGACAGATGTAGGGCTTCTGGCCGCTGTGGGTACGCTGGTGCTCAATGAGGTTGGAGCTGCGACTGAATGCCTTGCCACACTCACTGCACTCGTAAGGCCGCTCGCCACTGTGGATGCGCGCATGCTCAAGTAGTGCGAAGCTCCTCCGGAACACCTTGCCGCACACTCGGCACATAAATGGCATCTCGCTGCTGTGGATGATCTGGTGCTTAACAAGGTTGGAGCTGCGCGTGAAGGTCTTGCCACACTCCTCGCACTCAAAGGGCTTGTCGCCACTGTGGATGCGCTGATGCTCCAGCAACGCCAAGCTTCGCCGGAACAACTTCCCGCACTCGCTGCACTTGTAGGGTTTCTCGCCACTGTGGATGATCCTGTGCTTGATGAGATTGGAGCTGCGGCTGAAGGATTTTCCGCATTGCTGACACAGATAGCGCTTATCTGCGATTCTGGAGTGCTGGTACCTTACAGTGGTATTTGGCCTGAAGTCATGAGGACGTCTCTGCACTGACGATCCTGAGGTGTCTCCAAGGAGACCTCTTCCAAAAAGTTTTGGTTTTGAAGTCAGTGTCTTGTTCTTTATCCCATTCCCTGTAATGACAGAGCCACAAACAGTGTCACTTCCTTGGGTTTTTGTGGAGCGTTTCCCCGATTTTCATCTTCCCACCAAGGAATTGGGAAATAAACAACAACAACAACAAAATCATCAGGCAGGCAGGAGGGAGAGTTTCTGTTCTTTCTAGAGGGTATGCTGGAAAGTGGAGTGGAGCACCAGTGGTAGACACCAGGGTTGACAAAGTCTCTTTTCATCCATCCCCAGTAAGGGAGGGGAACATTGGGAGACCAACACCCCTCACTAAAGAGGATGTCTCTCCCAAAGTTTTAGCATCCACCATCTTCCTTAGTCAAGCCCTTGTTTTTTTATCCTCAACACTTGCAAGGTGGCTGAGGGTGCCTTGCTCACCAGCACAGGATCCTGTTGCAGTCCCCATTCCACCATCTGCAATCCAGGGCTTCTCCCCTCGCTCCAGCTGAGACACCAGGTTAGGCTTTGAGAAAGCAAATCCTGTTCATAGAAATGAAGAAAATCAGCACCTTTCTAGCTAAGGACAGAAAAAATTTTAAACAGAGTTCAGTCTGTGTCTTCAGAGAGCAAAAAACACCTCGGAAACTATAGCCAAGAAAGATCACCCTAGTCATATGCTTGGGGGCAGCATGTTTCTCCACTAAACTCAAGTGAGAATTCTAGAAGTCTTATGGGAAGATGTGTCCCCAACCTTTTGTTGATGGTCAGAGAGAACCCAGGGAAGGAAACAGTCTCCTTCCAAGGGGTCAGATGACAGGGGTGGTGTGTAGAGTCGGAGAAAATGGAAGAGGTTCATTTTCACAACTCCCTACCTACTCCAAATGAACCACCTCAGCTAGGAAGATGCCAGCAAAGAGGAAGGCCCAAGCTTAGACACTGTTCATTAGAGGAAGAAGTTGATACACATCACTGTTGTCACTCATTTATCAGTGCCTTTGAATCTTGATTTTCCCTGGAACTGGCAAGATGAACAGCCTCTTGTTGATGTCCAAACACAGGAGGATGGAGCATGCTAAAGACAGCAGCTAGCTGGAAGTTGCCCCAACTTCTGCCTAGATTTCTCCAGTCTTGGAAACAAAGTGCACTGCCTGGCCCTAGCCTGGGGCCTCATGGCCATTGTAAGTGGAAGCCTCTATAAAGCAAGTTGAATGCCAAATGCATTTGTTGTAAAAATGGAATAAGTCTAAAATGCTGCGAGTAAATATTCCAGTATAATAGGCATCTGTTTCTGTATAGAAAGATATTTTGGCAATCTCTGATTTTGTGTGCAAAGTGAGTATGACAGGTCATTACTGAATTTATCCCAAGTATTTACAAGTCCAAATTATTTAGCAGAACTCCTTTTTTTATACCACAACTGATCTACAAGGTATGGGTCAGATAAAGAAATATACTTATTCTTTGGTTCATAGCAATCAACAGACAAAAAGAAATCAGAACTGGAGTCCAGAGACAGTAGTTAGAACTGGGTGTGTATACTTGGTAGGTTCACTTACCCACTGACACCAAATGACTGTAGTTCTCCAGCATGACCTGCTTGTAGAGATTCCTCTGTTTGAGATCAAGAAGCTTCCATTCTGTCTTTGTAAAGTACACAGACACATCCTCAAAAGATACTGGTACCTAAAATAAGCAATTTGTGTGGTAGGGAATTAAATTCCAGGTTAAGCCTAGATGCAAACAATAAAACATGGGTTCCTCCTGCTTCAAGAGAGTTCAGCAGTCAGGAGAAACTCAGCAGTGAGTAGTACTGTCACAGGAAAGAGGAGTAGACATATGTGAAAAACCTAGCAAAGGGAACTCAGGAAAGCAACATGCCACAGGACTTGGAGCAGCAAAGCTCTCTCCTAGCCTGAGAAGTCCAAGATCCGAGCAGAGTATCAGAGGGAGACAGCTCAGGGCAACTTCTGAAACAGTGAGAAAGAGGTTGACTACTTACCTTGGGCTTTGCTCTCAGAAGAATGGCTGCCATAGTCAGGGCTCCAACCACAGAACAGCTGGAAGGCTGAGAGAAGTGCAAAGAGGGTTAGTGAGGTCAGGCTGGTCTGGTGCAGCTTGTTTCAAAGCCTGGTTTATTATTATTTTTTGCCGAATAGCAAGGCAAGGCAAGACTGTGGTGTATGTGAGTCATATGTCCCAAAAAGGGCAGATTTTTTTCTCCAGAGGCCAGTTCCTATGCCCTCCTACAAGGAAGAGGCAATGGATTTTCTTACTCTGGAAGCTTAACCTAGGCCAGTGATCACTTTTGTTACAGCTTGATGGGGCTACTGTAACAAAGTACCATCTGCTGGAGGGGGGGTTAAAACCACACATGCACATGTACACTTTCTTCCAGTTTTGCAGGCTGGAAGCCTGATATCTGCGTGTTGGTGGGTTCTCTCTTCATCCTGAAGGCTGATCTTCTTGCTTCTATCAGCCATTGGGTAGTACCCAGTGGTCCTTGACTTATAGTTGCATCTTTCCAATCTTTTCCTGAATCTTCACATGGCTGTCTTCTCTATGTGCACTTGGTTCCAAATTTCCCTAGTCTTATATGACACTATTCATTGGATTAGGGCCTACCTTACTCCAATATGGTGTCTCTTTAACCTTATTTACATTCACAAAGCTCTACTTCTAAGTAAAGGAATCTCCCCAGGCAGTTAGGGATGGGACATCAAGCTATCATATTTTAGAGACACGATGCAATTCAGCCAAACTTAGCCTCCAGGCTTTTCTATCACCTATTGACTGGGCCAAGATCTAGGGATCACATACTCTGACTTTGCACACATTTCAGGAACCTCTGACCAGTCTTCCAAATGAGCCTGGTCTTTCTCTTTACCGTTTCCTTTTTAAAAAATTATTATTTATTTATTTTATTTTGTTTAAGTGCCACGTGTGTGCAAGGTACATGAGGAAGCCAGAAGAGGAAGTCAGATTATCTGGGACTGAAATTACAGATGATTGTGAGCCACCATGTGGGTTCTAGGAATCAAACCCTGATCCTCTGGAAGAACAGCTGAACTGTTTCCCTAACCCCCTTCACTTCCTTCTTTTTAAAAACATCTTTCTTCTGCCCATCATCCTATTCCTCCAACTTTCCAGACATTCCTGGAAGCTCCATTTATGGGTTCCTCTTCCTTTAGTGTGTGGGTCCATGTTTAAAAAAATTAACCAACTCCACACACATACATGAAACCTCCAGGTGCAGAGTGGGAGTGGCTAGCGAGCAAAAAGAGAAGAGTGGTCGATTGTGAGGCACAGTGTAGTGGGATCTACAGGAGATGGGTGGGGGCACTCTGATGAGATGTCATCAGGCTGCGAGTGGCAGTGGTGAGGTGGTTGCAAGGGGACATAAGCAATAAAATGCCCAACAAATGCCTATCATCAGTGGTGTTTGTGTTGCAAAGAATTGAGACGATGGACACAAGCAATGGGACTGTATGAGGACAGCAGGAATTTGGTTCTCATGACAAGGGCTTGAAGGTTGACAGAGTAGACAAAGTTTACTTAGCCTTAAACTTCTGTACATCAATTAGTGTAGAAGCTACTCATGCAAATGACAATTTGCTTCAAGAATGCTGTTCTATTAGACTTGAAAACAACATGAAAGTCCTGATTGGAGTAGCAGAGACACCAGGAGGAAGTCTGGAAGGGCAATTGGTCAAAACGTTTTATATGTCCTCGTGAGTGACTGCATCTTGTTTGTTTGCCAGTGATAAGGCCACAGGAGAGAAGAAGAGGGGCTGGAGTCTAGAAAACACAAAGACAGCCACATATTTACCAACCATTTAAACGGCTCTCAGGTCTCTTATCATCCTTGATGAACTGTCAATTAACATTGACCAATTATAAATTCATGTTTCTGATGAAGTTTCTTTTTTGGAAGAGGGTTTTGGGACAGGGTTTCTCTGTGTAAAAATTCTGGCTGTCCTGGAACTTGATTTGTAGACCTGGCTGCCCTTGAACTCACAGAAATCTGTCTGCCTCTGCTGGAATTAAAGGTGTGTGCCACCATCACCTGGCTTCTGATGAAGTTTCTATGAATCAGACACACACAAAAAAAGATCATTTAAGGGGTTGGTGAGATGGTTCAATGGTTCAGAACATTTGCTGCTCTTCCAGAGGATACAATTTCAATTCCTAGCACCCACAGCAGACATCTCACATCCATCTCTAACTCTAGCTCCAGGAATCAGATGTTCCTGGCCTTTAGAGACACCTGTACTCTTAAGCACATACCCATATTACACACTTACACATACACACACCCTATACATAATTGAACAGTACTAAGATAAATTTTTGAAATATTTTTAAAAGGTGGATCTTTTAGGTGGGACAGATACTATAGCTACTAGGTGAAAGACTCGGGGAGACTGGGACATCACACATCAAAATATTAATCTTAAGTTAACTGTGGAGCAGAGGGTGGGACAGATCTGTCACCAGGATGAGCAGAAAAGTACTCTAACCACAATCTAACTGCAAGCTAATGCAACCTTTGAACTGAGTTGAGCTTTTGAACTCAATGTTCAGTGTTAAGAGGATTCTGACACCAGAGGTGTAATTAGGCTGATACAGAAGGTGTACTTTTTCACAAGTCAACCAGCACAGTTTCTGCAAACTAGTATCATGTATGGAAGAAAGCTGGAAGGAGTAATTTCCCATAAATGATAAGAGTTTTGGTCCTAAGACGTTGGTATGCAGGACATAGTCATGAGACTCACTGAAGATGATGAAGACTATTAGGTGGCTACCAGAGGATTCATCAGTGTTCATGGGGTGGATAATGGCACTGAGGCAAAGAAGAAAATATTCTTTTAAAGAAATTTGCATATTGAAACAGTTGAGAAAATGGTATGCTGCTCGGTTTAAACTATTCGATGAACAAACAACAACAAGAGAATGAAACAAATAATGTAAGATGGTGACCACTGCTTAAGCTGATTAGCTGATGAACACAACTTCACACACAATTTGAGTGTATACTATCCATCACAGGGAGGAAGTTGTGGTGCATAAGGCAGCTGGTCACAGCCACAAAACAGAGACAGAGAAATTCTAGTGCTGAGTTTGGTTCCTCCCTTTTCCTTTTAAAATAGTTTTTAAGTGTGTGTGTGTGTGTGTGTGTGTGTGTGTGTGTGTTTATGTGGGGGAATGTGTACCTGAGTGTAGTTGCCTACAGATACCAGCAAAGGACTTTGGATTGCCACAGAGCTGGTGTTATAGTTGTGAACCACCTGATATGGGTTCTGAGAACTGAACTTGGGCCCCTTTGGACAAAGAAGAAGCACTCTTACTGCTGAGCCATCTTTCTAGTCCCTCTTTTGCCCTTTTTATTCAGTTAAGGACCTCAGCCCATGGGACAGTGCCACCTATATTTAGGGTGCTCTTTTCCCCCTTAGTTAAGTCTCTCTGGAAACATCCTCACAGACATGCCCATAAATCTGTTAGGTGATTCCAAATACAGTTCAGTTGACAATGAAGATGAGTACATGACAATGGAACCTTTGGAAAATGCAGCTTACTGGGAGGCCTCGTCATTGTCATTGTCAGTGTGCCCTGAAAGTGGATAGTAGGATGCGGCCTCTTTTTTCTACTTTGTGATACAGAGAGTGGTTTTGCTATACCATATTGATGTGCTATGACACAGACCCAAAGCCATGGACAGTCAATTAATGCCTATTCTCCCCCAACACAAGGAAAACAAATCCATTTGGATGGTTACTCCATGAATTAAAAACAGTTACAACATGACCAGGCAATTCCACTCTGAATGCATACTCAAAATAATTAAAAACAGGTGTCTACACTAAAAACCTATATACCCACATTCATTGCAATCACATTAACCAACAGGTAGAAAACAGTTCAAGCAAAGGGAGACTGAAGAGATGGTTTCATTGATAGTGTTTACTTGGCAAGCAGGGGGACCTGAGGTAGAGAACAACTGGGTAAGATGTCCCTACATCAACTTCTGGCCTCCCTGCATAGATATGCACTGAGATTACACACAAAAACATACATGCAAATAAGAAAGGAAAGGGGTTCTTTCAATCACTTGAAAGCCCACAGACTACATGTGCATTTCATTATTGACACTCTACAACACTAAAGAAGTGTGGAAGAAGATGGTCCAAGTGTTTTGGGTTAAAATTATTATTTTAAAAAGCAACATGATCGTGGGGTGGTGGTTGAGCATGCCTTTAATACCAGCACTCAGGAGGCAGAGGCAGGCAAATATGTGAATTTGAGGTCAGCCTGGTCTACTGAGTGAGTTAGTTCCAGAACAGCCAGGGATACACAAAGAAACCCTGTACTGAAAAATCAAATTAACCAACCAAACAAACAAAAAACCAAAAAACCACCACCAACAAAACAACAAAAAACTGTAACACGAATAAATAAAAGATACAGAGTTTGATATTGGTTTCAAACTTCAGGCTGAATATCAGAAAAGCAAAGCAGCCGGCCACTAGCTCTCACCTCTAGCTCAGGCTGAAAGGGATGGTCCATTCATGAGCTCTTCACCAAGTTTTAAACTACTGCCTCTCCTCAGTGTGGCTGGAGAATGAATGCCTCTCTGAGACCTAGATTCTGGCTTACATACTTTCCTAATGTTGGGATTAAAGGTGTGAGCTATAATTCTCTTTTAGACTGATTCACTTTTGTGTAGATCTGGGCGGCCTTGGACTCACAGAGATCTGTCTACCTCTTAATCCTGAGTCCTAGGATTAAAGCTGTGTACTACCACCTCCTAGTTTCTGGCTGCTGGGATTAAAGGTGTGTGCCACCACTGCCTGATTTCTATAGCTTATGGCTGACTTTTCTTTTCGGAATCCTCAAGCAAGCTTTAATAAACCCTAAATAATATATCACTACAACAACCAAACAAACAAACAAAGAAAAACTAAACATGATCCGGGGAGATGGCTCAGTAGGTAAATTCATATAAGCTTGATAACTTGGATTTGATTCCTGGAACCCACACTTTAATCAAACAAAACATATGATAGTGCAAATATGTAATTTCAGCACACCTAAGGTAAGATGGGAGGTAGAGACAGGGGAATTGTTTGATAGCAAGTGGGCCAGCCTAGCCTGGAGTATGCAGATCAGCAGAAACACTTTCAACAAGATGGTAGGTGACAGACTTCCCAAAATTATCCCTCCCTGTTGGGTCCCAGCCCCACCAGGTCTCTGTGAGTTGCTGGTCAGCCTACAAGTGCAACTTGTTTTCCAGTCCAAGTGCTTCCTGCTTTCTAGTCCTGGCTTACTGCCCCGGCCTTGACCCTCTGACATCAACATTCAGCAGGAGGAAAACATGCTCTCTTCTACCTGGGGTTTTTCCACTGTGCTGTAAACCTGTATAAAAAGCTCCTCCCTCCTACAAGAGAGAGACCTCTTAGCACTTGCAATGAACACACTCTCTCCCTCTCTCCCTCCCTCCCTCCCTCCCTCCCTCTCTCTCTCTCCTGGCAATAAAGGCAACACATGCATTCTCTTAGTACATACAAGTGAACGTCTGGTCTTTCTTTTTCTGATACCTCGGGTGCAGGCGCCGCACCTCCCCACATCTGAGGTACACTGCTGTTAAGTTGTCCTACAGTTAGGCCCATGGACGTGTGGAAGGATAGACTCTTGGAAGTGATAATCACACAAGGAGGCTACATACCAGTGTCTGTCCTTGAGACCTACTCCCTGAAAGTCAGGCATGGTTTCGGCTCTTGCAAAGACACAGCAAACCTCATGGGGATCCCAGGTAACTACTAGGTAACTCTAGTCTGCTGGGTGGTATGCTATAGTGTGTGTAAGCATCTGGAAGAAGCTTGGTGGAACTGGAGAAAACCTTCCAATTGTCTACCCTTGTGGGCCTCTAGAACACAGGACAAGCAAGGGTGATTTTAAGCCTGGAAGGTCCGGTTTGTCCCCATATACGGTTGGGCTTGGCCTGAGGAATGTCAAGTAGGCTTGGGTCTCAGGGCAAGCATCTGGGAAACAGATCAACCTTAAACCTAACAATCCCTTCCCCTAGGCTTTGGTCTTGCCAGGAGTCTTGCTCATAGACCAGCAGTGGCTTCCCCCTACTCCTGCTTGTATTGGAGTAGGAAGGGAAGAGGGTAAGAAGGAGAGGGCTGTCTACTGCTGGGAAGCCTGGCAGAGAAAGAGACCTGTGGTGCTACAGGCTACCACAAGGTGGGGCACTTTCCCCAGGCAAAGAAACCAGAACCCCACCAAATAAACATCAAGAAAAACATTCAGAATCCTCTTTAGTCACATCACAAGGGGATTATGGGCCTTTTCATCTACAAGAAAGGATACAGATACATAGGTTACTTAGGGTGGAACTTTCTTTGGGATTTAGCAGCTCAAGGCCCCCAACTGCCTCTCCTCAGATCCACTTGCTGCTCCTGAGGTGAGGATGCTCTAGTTTCCTGCCCTCACTCTCCACCTGGTAGAAGGTCCAGAGAGGGACAGACACCTGAGGAGCTTGGCTGGCCAAAGCCCTCAGGGATCTCCCCTGTGAGTACTGACCCCAGGCTTAGTTCCAGGAGGAGGGGACCAAGGCTGGCCTAGACAGAGGGCCACCAACCATGGATGCTTGCTGAGGGATCCTCTGGACAGGTCAGATCCTGACCTTTTCTTCCCACAGCCTTACCAAGACTGTCACTCAGAATAAACTCACAGGGCACTTTTTGACCTCTCCTTTCTCAATTCCCCCCTCAGATGCAGTCAAACTGGCTTCAAAGCTCTAGCTCTTATGAGTCTGAGCACTCTTGCCTCAGGGCCTCTGTACCAGCTATTCCTTCTGCCTAGAATGTTCTTCCAAAACAGAAGCACGTGGCTTATTATTCCATCACCTTCAAGTCTGGGCAGAAATCTTGACTTTGAAAACAAACCTTTTCTAGTCACAGCACCTAAACTTGCAACTGGACCTCCTTTTCCAGCTCTTACTAGCTTTCATTCAACCTACATAGTTATTATTTTAAAATGTTTATGATTTATGGTCTCTGCTCTGTCACTAGAACTCCAACCACAGAGTAGAGATTTTTGCCATCTCCTTCTCTGATAGACCTCAGAGAAGTCTGTAACAACCTGCCTCTTTGAAAGGTGGAACTAGTCATAACAAGCACTGCAGGGAAGCACTGGGCATAGTTCCTTCTCACCTCTCATCTGTTCTTACCTTCCTAGGCATTGGCTTGGCTGAGATTATTGCTTTTCTCTTAGATGAGGGAAGCAGGCGAGGCACTGCTCAATACACACAAATGAAAGGCACAACACTCCTGTGAGCCACAGGTTCATGGTTTTGATGTCCTGTCCCAGTCTGGGGGCCCTTGGGGCTTGTGCCTCTGGACTGTTGGCCAGGTGTCCTAACAGTGCCATGATCTCACAATTCAAGCTTGCCCGGAGTTCCCACACCCAGAGGTGCAAACCTCAAATTAACTGTACAGATCAGCAGTGCAATGCTTCTGTGTCAGACCTAGTATCTGCGTCTGAAAATTAGGAGAGAAATGCGAAAACAAGACTTCAGTTCCTTAGCGCCTAGTCCAGACCAGCTTCTCTTCGCCGAGGCCCTAGAAGGGAGCATTACTGAGCTACCCTGCCCAGCTCTTCCACTATTGGCCCAGCACCCAGGGCTTCCCCAAACATCGACACCACCACCCCTCCTTCCACCCCCTGGCCACCTGTGCCCTTCTGCACTGCTGCTGAGATGGGCCTGAGACTCGCGGTGCCTCCCTTCTCCCTGCTGCCTGCATACCCGTGTGCCAGGCAGCTTTGGCCTCCCCTCTGCACCCCTATATTGTGTACAACCGAGGCTAAGGATGCTGCCTCCCAGAAGCTCTCCCAGGAGGCGCCTCTGAGAAGCTAAGAGCTCTCAGACGGTTGTCAGCCTCACCTCTCTTCAGGCAGCCTCGTACTGCGTACTGTGTACTGCGTGGCTCCGTTGGCCAGTCTGCCGCTGCTGCGGAGGAGCGGGGTGCTGGAGCAGTCAGGGCCAGGGCGGGGGCGACGGCGGCGTGGGAACCAGGCGCAAGTGGGGACACAGAGCATGCGCGGCACTGCGGGAGGGCGGCTAGGCTGGCTCCTGGCTCTCTCTGGTCCAGCTCCCGCCCCACTCAGGTGTCTGGTCTCACTCTCCACTCACGCGGGACACTTCCGTTTTCCGTCTGGTTTGTTCTGAAGCAGTTCGGTTGCAATGGTCACCTGAAGCAGCCATGGGAGTCCCCATTGATCCCACATCATTGTTGAAGCACCTCCAATGAATCAGACTCCCTAGCATTCAATCTATCCATCCATTCATCCGGCCAGCCAGCCATTTCTCTAGCATCAAGTGGCCAGACCATGGTCTCCTATGAACAGGAATGACAAGGATAAAAAAGGAAGTATACGACATGTAGGGGAACTTTGGAGATGGTAAGGTAGAGATGGACAGAAAAGAGGAAGTGCAAGAAGTGGGTGTGACCCACTCTCTCATGTTACCCCATGTGGTCAGCAAGGCAGCCCCAGGGTGAGCCATTAGGGTTGATATTTCCCAGCAGATCACTTCTATGTAGTGGAACGAATATGGAAACCCAAGGGTTGGACTTGGACACTTCTCTCTGGACAGTTTTGAGATCTTCTAAGAAAAGTTAGTTTGACAAAGAGCAAAGGATAAAGGATAAGGGAAAGCAACCATGTTGTTGGTTCTACTGATCTGCTGATGCCTCCAAACCCTGCCTGCTGGGAACTGAGCTGTACCTTCCCTTGTAAAGCTGACCAGGATTCTTGTCTTTAAGTGGCCCTGGGGCCAGGTCAAGCCTAGAGCAAAGGAGCCCTTTGCAAGCCTGTGATCCTACTGTTATATGTCCCAGGCTTAGGATGGTCCAGGGTGGGTTTATTACTCCTTGGCCACTGTGTAGGCCATGAGATCCACCACCCTGTTGCTGTAGCCAAATTCATTGTCATACCAGGAAATGAGCTTTAGGAAGTTGTCATGAGAGCAATGTCAGTCCCAGCATCAAAGGTGGAAGAATGGGAGTCACTGTTGAAGTCGCAGGAGACAACCTGGTCCTAAGTGTAGCCCTGGATGCCCTTCAGTGGGCCCTCAGATGCCTGCTTCTCCACCTTCTTTACGTCTTCATACTTGCCAGCTTTCTCAGGCGACATGTCAGATCCACAATGGGCACATTGGGTAGGAACACGGAAGGCCATGCCTATGAGAAAAATTCATCAAGGAAGTTGAAATATTTAAAAAGGTCCAAACAGAAATACTGGAAGTTAAAAAAATAGCTAATCAAATAAAACTACATTGGAAAACATTGTGGAAACACAAGACCACGGAGAAGAACAAATTTCAGGGTGGAGGACATAGTGAAGACACAATACAAACAGACAGTAAGAATAAAAGTTAAACATGAACAATATTTCTAAGAAGTCTGGGATACATTCAAGAGGCTAAACCTGTTAATTCATGATGTAGAAGATGCTTAGAGATAAAGTATAAAGGAATAGACAGATCATCTAGTGGGATTGCAGCAGTAAACTTTCCAAATCTAGAGAATTAAGTAGAAATACAAACACAAGAGACATTCATAATCCCAATAGACATGATCAAAGAAGAAACTCTATGACAAATTATAGCCAAATGTCAAAAATACAAAGTAAATAAATAGTACTAAAAACATGAGAAAAATTAAATTTGAAAGTTTCTTCACAGCAAAGTTCAGCAGCCATATTTCAGACAGGAGCTCATATCCAGAATCTGAAAAGAATGGCAAAACCTAAATATACAAACAAATCCCCTGGCAATTAACAAATTGGCTAGTGAAAGGAATAAACTGTTCTAAAAATGGCCAATAAGCACTTTAAAAAGTGTTCAACATCTCTAGTAATTAGTGATATACAAATTAAAACCACTTTGAAATTTCACCTCACTCCAGTCAGAATGGTTATTATAAAGAAATCTGAGAACAAATGTTTGTGAGGATTGGGGTGGTGGTGAGGAAACTTTATTCAGTGCTGATAGGTGTGAAAACTAGTACAGCAATTATGGAAAGAAGTATGGTGGTTTATCCCAAACAGTGGAAAATATAACTACCATATGACACAGCTATGCCACTCATGGACATGTGTGCAGAGGACTCCATATCAGATATAGATACTTTCATATCCATGTTTATTGGTGCTCTATCTATCATAGCAAGGAAAAGGAAACAATCTAGATGTCCATCAACAAATGAATGGATACACAATGGAATTTTCTACCACTGTAAAGAAAAATGAACATTTCAGGAAATATAGTTGGATTTGGAAAATATAATAAGTGATGTGACTCAAACTTAAAAAGTAAAAATTGTATTTTCTCTAATATTTGGTACCTAGCCTGTACCATATACATGTAGCATATGAATGTAAAGTGTAAATTTAGGTAGAACCTAAAAAAACCCCAACAACTAGAAAGTAGACCATGTGAGTCTAAAAACAGTTGATAAGAAGGATGAGACAGGGGACATAAAAGAGGAAAAGAGACAAGAGGAGGTTACAATTGTGAATTTGAGTGGGTAGAGGGATAATTTACTGTATTAAAAAATCCACAATGGTGTGTAATAATTTATATGCTAGTTTACAAAGCAAAAAATATTTAAAACATATCTTTAAGGACATAAATCATGCTTATAATGATGTGAAAAAGTTTCAGCAGAGAAAAAGTATTGAAAAGGACCAGCTATGAGTTAGGTATAGTAATATATGCTCGTAAACTCAGTACTCCAGTGGCCAAGATAGAAGGATAGCAGAAATTGTGTGAACAGGCTGGGTTACTTAGTGAGTTATGGGACATCTTAGGGCTATATACTGAGAGTCTTTCTAAAACAATCCATGCAGTCAAAGATAAAATATTATTAATTCACAAATTAATAGTGTAACTTTAATCTGATCATTCTAACAGATTGCAGAACACAGAAAAAGGAATAAAAAATCCTGAACATAGATGAAGAGAAATTATTCATTGTGGAAAGCTGAGAAGATAAGAGATGTAAACAAAAGAAAATGAAAATAAGAAAGAAATTAAAATAATAGACCTGTGATGCTCTGCGGAGAAATATAAAGTCTAATAAATGTGTATAAAGAATCCCAAGAGAGAGAAAAATCATTAGAAGATAAAATTCTTGAAGAAAAATCAGCCAAGTCTGATAGTACAAGCCTGCAAATCCAGTTATTCTGGGCTTGAGGCAGAAGTATCCAAAGTTTGGTATAGATGGAATAAAAAACACTAAAGCCTTTGGTCTCTATAGAGTCAAAAGATTCCAATGCGGTGACAGTAACAGATGTACAATAACAGAACACACAAACAGTAAGTGTAAGAAAATGGAAATAGCGTTTCCTCCCCTTTCCTGAGACTGTGAGAATTGAACCTAACACCTGTGCATGGAGTTAAGGACCATGCTTGTGACCTTTACCGTCATTCATTTTCTTTTTCCTCTTTATTTCATTAGAATGTTTCTAAATTGTGTAATGTGAGTAATTTAATCCAGACCTGCCAATATCTATAATTGTTGGTTTGCGCTATCACGCCTGAGAATGAATAACTTTTTATTCCTTTCAGACAGAATCACGTAGCCAAAGCTGGCCTCGTAACTCTTTATGTAGCTGAGGATGACCGTAAACTTCCGATCTTTCTGCCTCTATTTCCTAAGTGCTGGGATGACCAGTGTCCACCACCACTCCTGGGACTTCATGAAATTTCAAACACGGTGTTAATAATAGAAAATAAAGGATTAAAAATTATCAGCTCAGGTGATGCATGCCTTTAATCCCAGCATTCGGGAGGCAGCGACAGGTGGATCTCTGTGAGTCCGAGGTCAGCCTGGTGTACAGAGTGAGTTCCAGGACAGCTTCCAAAACAATACAGAGAAACCCTGATTCAGAAAAACAAACGAAAGAACAAAGAAAAATCCCTGTCAGCTAACATTAAACGTCATCATGATATGTGGGCAAATTTATTTGGAACCCATAAAATTTATGCTTTTCCACTGGATAAGGAACCTTCCAGAAAGATTATAGATCGATTATAGTCTGCTTTGGTATCGAGCAGCTTCTTTACACCTATGGCTAAATGACTGGAAGAAGGACCAATGAGCGTGTCTATAACTTCTAGACATCTTGCGCTTTTCCATGTTAAGGCTTCCCATTGGTTAACAAGTTCCCTGTTACATTGGCCCCGCCCCTGAGAGCTCATGACCCAATCATTTGCCATAGAGTGGTCCAGAATTTTCTTCAAGATGTAGAGGAGGTTTCTGGGAGAAATAGGGGATTCTGGGAGTTTGTCGGCAGATTGAGAGCTTCACACGTCTCTTCGCCCGCTCCACTGAGGTCACTTTGGACATTCGTGCTTGGGAGTCCTGAGGAGAGCCGAGTCAGGGAACTTGAACAGTCAGGTAGGAACGTTTATTAGCGTAGACCGTAGTTGCCCGTGGGGCGCAGGCTGGGTGCTCCGGAGCTGCCAAGGTAGGGTACGGCGAGGTTGTGTCGAGGGCCCTGTTGGATCCACCTGAGCGAGGCCTGCTGTGTTAAGAGTAGTCTGGTCACTTGTGGTCACGGGATCCACAGAAGATAAGGGGTTGCTTGGTTATGGGACACTGGAGGCTGACGGGATTTTAGTCACTGTCTGCAGGCTCTATGAGGAGGAGGTGAGACGGGAGCAGTTGAATGCAGGCAGTCCACCGGGGAGAGCGGTCACGTGCCATAGGCTAGGCCTCAGGGTCCTCGGTAGGTCGGGCTGTATGGCACTGGGCCCTGGTGTTTACGGACGTGCCCGCATGTTCGTGTGCCGGCATATAGTGTACGTATGGCACAAACCCGCTCGTCTGTGCCCCTGCTTGTAAATGCCTAGCTATAGAAGGAGGGATGTGGTTTGGCGGCAAGACGTTGAGCCACCGAACAAATGGTGGCCACACAGCACGGACTCCTCACTCTGGAGAAACAATGTGTGCGCATGCGTGTTTGGTCCTTGGTGTGCTAACATGTTGGGTCTCTTTGAGACAGACACGGCTGCCTTTGGCGCACACCATGGCGGCCAGCCTCGGCATGGAATAAAGGGAGAGGAGCGGGGGAGGGGTACAGTTCTTCAGCGAGATGGGGCAATATTTTCCATCTGGTGTGTCAACCCTCAATAGTGAGGGATGTGTTAAGGTTCTGGAACAGGAGCACACCAAATTCTGGCAATGATAGGAGAGTCAGGTGAACAATACCTGCCAGCTTCGGGTGGGGCAAAACCCTACAGCTTTTTGGTATAGGGAGGCCAAAGGAGACCAAGAATATTTAAGCACTTGGGGCCATCCTGCCTTGTGGTCTAAAGAAGCTTGCTGCTGACTGAGTGTGCTTGTGTGCTGCCATGTGCCAGGATCTTGTGGTTTGCAGGCAGACAGAATTGAGTGGCAGGGGCGGGAGGTAGATTTTAAAAACAAGTCACTGCCTGAGGGTGGACTGAAAAAGAATATAGTGTATCAACCTATGCAGACATTGAAAAAGAGAAAGGAATATTAACTGCATATTTTCACCAAAACTTGAAAACTTACAAATTGCAACTTTCTTGGGAGACAGAACACAATGGAACTGTCACCAGATTAAATATTATAAAATATAACTGTCCCTGTATATTATAGATTTAATTTGTCAATGATTTTCTTAAAATCAACCAAAATAGACAAGTATTAGTATTGGCTCCACACTTTATGGGGCAGCTTGGTGGGACCTGGATTGCCTGGCATCAATATGCCTTTCTGTTTTTTCCACCCACAGGCTGAGGAGGAGGCTGCTACAGTCAGCACACACCCCTGTCTGGTCATGTTCCCTTCCAAGTCCACTGCTATCGCACTGGCAATTCTTCAAGACTGGTGCGGGTGGATGGGTGTCAATGCTCAGCGCTCACTACTCATCCTGGGCATCCCCGATGACTGTGAGGAAGAAGAATTCCAGGAGGCTGTTCAGGCTGCCCTCAGACCCCTGGGGAGGTACCGAGTGCTTGGCAAGGTCTTCAGAAAGGAGATTGGGGCAAAGGTCGCTTTGGTTGAATTTGCTGATAATTTAAACCAAAGCTTGATTCCCCAACATATACCAAATGAGAGGGAGCCCTGGACTGTGATCTTCCAGCCTCGGGTGCCTGATATAGAGTTGCAGGGTACATTCAATTTCCCTGCACAGGCTCATGGGCAAGCTTTTGAAGGGGCTTCAGGTGGGGCAGGGGTTTCAGGTGGGGCAGGGGCTTCAGGTGGGGCAGGGGCTTCAGGTGGGGCAGGGACTGCAGTTCAGGAAGGAGATGGAGATGAGCCAGGGGTTGTGGGTGAAGCAGAAGGAGCATCTGAGGATCAGGCAAGAGTGTCAGACGAGGAAGGAACAGACAGTGTGGAAGGGGGAGCGGATGCGGCTCCTCCTGTCTCCTTCGTACAGGAGGAAGGAGCTGCAGCTGAGGCAAGAGTGTCAGGCGAGGAAGAAACAGAGGATGAGGAAGGAGACCATGAGGCAGGAAGAGCAGCTGAGGAAGAAGCTGCTGCTGAGGCAAGACTGTTGGATGAGGAAGTGTCAGAGGATGAGGAAGGAGTTATAGATGAGGAAGGAGTTATAGGTGAGGAAGTGTCAGAGGATGAGGAAGGAGTTATAGATGAGGAAGGAGTTATAGGTGAGGGAGGAGTTATATATGAGGAAGGAGTTATAGATGAGGGAGGAGTTATAGATGAGGAAGGAGTTATAGATGAAGGAGGAGTTATATATGAGGAAGGAGTTATAGATGAAGGAGGAGTAGTAGATGAGGAAGGAGTTATAGATGAGGAAGTGTCAGAGGATGAGGAAGGAGTTATAGATGAGGGAGGAGTTATATATGAGGAAGGAGTTATAGATGAGGGAGGAGTTATATATGAGGGAGGAGTTATATATGAGGGAGGAGTTATATATGAGGCAGGAGTAATAGATGAAGCAAGACTGTCAGATGAGGGGGCTATGGATGAGGAAGAAGATATAGTTGAGCCAGGAGCTGAAAGAATGCCTGAGGAGGAAGGGGCCGGAGGTGATATGGGAATTGCAGGTATTATAGGAGCTATAGGTTGGGCAGGAGCTGCAGGTGAGGTAGGAGCTGCAGGAGAAGGAGGCATTTTAGAGGTAGGAGCAGGTGATAATGGGTCTGCAGGTGATGAGGAATTTGTGGGTGATGAAGAGTCTGAAAGTGACGAAGGATCTGCAGGGGATGAAGGATCTGTGGATGATGGTGGGCCTGTGGGCGAAGCAGGAGACATAGATGAGGATGAGGAAGGAGCTGTAGGTGAGGCAAGATTGTCGGATGAAGAGGGAGCAGCAGGTGACATGGGAGTTGCAGGCATTGTAGGAGCTGTGGGGTTGGCAGGAGCTGCAGGTGAGGCAGGAGGTTCGGGTGAAGAAGGGGCCTTTGATGTGGCAGGAGGGGCACACGGAGCTGGAGCCTGGACCCAGCAGTGGAGTCAAGCCCTGCAGCCCATCCTGGAAAACATGGCCTACCAGGAACTGAGACACTTCTCTGGGATGGAAGAGCCTGGCTGTGGGGGTCAGTCTTTTGAAAGCTGGCTGGACCATGCCAATGACATGCTATACCTGTGGCGCCACGTATCTGAGAGCGAAAGGAGGCGGCGGCTGGTGGAGAGCCTGGGGGGCCCTGCCCTGGATCTCCTGTGTGAGCTTCTGGAAGAGCACCCAGACACGCCTGCACAGGACTGCCTGGCTGCACTGGTGCAAGTGTTTGGCAACAAGGATACTGTAATGACGGCGAGGCTGAAGTTCCTGACTTGCTCCCAGCAGCCTCAGGAAACCCTCTTTGCCTATGTGATGCGCCTGGAAGGTCTGCTGCAGATGGCCATGGAGAAGGGGGCCATCCAGCCTGCAATGGTAGATCAGGCGAGGGCACGACAGGTGCTGATGCGGGCCCGGCCTAACCAGATGCTGCAGAACAACCTGAGGAGGATGCGGTTAGAGAGGAGGCCACCAGGCTTTCTGGGGCTGCTCAGGCTTGTCCGGGAGACTGAAGCATGGGAGGCAGCTCTGGCTGAAAATGCAGTGGTCCGAGTGGGGGATCGGGTGGAAATGCATGGTGGAGAGCCGGATGTGGCCCAGGCTGCCCTTGTGGGTGTTGAGGGTGCTGAGCCTGCCCCTGATGTTAGAGGGACCTTCCCAGCCAGTGAAGATCCTGGCCAGGCTGCTGCTGCTGTTCTTGAGGAAGCTGCTGAGGATACTCCTTATAGTGATGGTGACACAAAGGAAGGCCCTGACTCTGATGAGGCCAGTGTCTTCCCTGTTACCCAGAGAGATGAAAATGTGTCCATCCCTGCTGGCTCAGGCCAGGCAGCGCCCACCGATGGCTCTGATGTGCCTACTGAAGGCCCTGATGTGCCTACCGAGGGCTCTGATGTGCCTGACAGCATGGTCCATGCAGGAGCGGAAGAAGCAGAGCAGCCTGTACCAGAGGGACTGAAGGAAGAGTCAGAAAATGAGTATGGGGCATGGGAAGCTAGTCACCCCAAATCCTTCTTTGGCAAATAGGCTCAGAAGGTACAGGGGCTTCCTCCTACCTCAGGCAGCTAAGTCTTAGAGGCAGGCAGTGTGAGCCCAAGGCCTGTGCTTTACTCCAAAGGTACAGCAGGGCCCAGAAAAGGTTTTGGTCTGCCTTAAACCAGCTCCCTCCTTCAAATCCCCAAGGGGTCCTGGCAGCCACAACCACTTCCCATTCGAGTTATCCAGGTACCACATTTGCCACCAAGTGGAGTAGGGAGAGGTACCCTTCCTTTCCCATGACAATGTCACCTCCAGATATAACCCTAAACTGTTCTGACTTGACTTGCCTGAAACACATTGCTGAGGTCCAAAGCTCCAAAATTAAGGATGTTTCCTGAGAATCCACCTGTTCTAGTCTGGAAGATGTGGGAAAGAGGCCATCCCAACACTTTCAGCTACTTTGTTCTCCCAGCACAGGCAGCCTATCTCCTCACATTTGCAGTGCCTATGCAGGCTGCTTTCTGCCATGGGGGATTCACCCTTATCTCTGCCTCATAGTGAACCTAGGTAGGCTGTCACTGTCTGTTGTTTTCCAAATATGTGCATTGTTACCTGAGCAGGTCTTTCCCAGATACCACCAAGTCCAGCAACAGGAGCCAGCAGGAAGAACAGAAGGTGACAAGACACTGGCTGATGCTTACCTTGTGACTGTCACTTGGTCGAACTGCACAGGCAAAAATCATGGACCTGGGAGTGGCTTGAACACCACATTTTTGTTCCATTTAAGTTGTTATTCATGACTCTTATTTCCTCTACTTGGTAGGGTATTATGTGTTGTGATTTCTGATGTTCTATAACTGACCTGTGTCAATAATAGGGCAGGGCCACCCCACAGTGTGTGACCCCTTGAGGTCATCCTCCAAAGTAAATGAGTATTGCCAGAAGCCATTGTGTTAATAAGATGCACAGGTTGGATTTTTGAAAAGGGAGAAAATGGTGAGGGGCCCCAACGTGTTTTCAGAACCCAGGAGGAGTGCAGTCTGGGAACTATAGTTCCTGGTGGCTATAATGTGTTTTTGACTAGTGTTTTACCTTTTTCAATGGTTTCATCAAGTGTTTTTCATTAATAAATTTTTTGGATGTTTCAGATGTCTCACCATTTCCTTGGGTGGTTGGGTATGGAATAGGCTTAAAGGAGTATCAAATTTCAGCTTGGTTTCCATAGGCTATATCATTACTGAGGGTAAACAGTAAGCACTTCAAAAGCCAGGTTAGGCATTCATGAGAGCTTTTATTTCAGTGATTATTTGTAGTTCAGTTTCACTGGTCTAATTTGGACTTTTCAAAATGTTTTGCCAACCTGACATGTTGGCCCATGACTAATTTGTTAGACTTATAGGTGTAGTTTAACCATGCAGGGACTTTCAGGCCAGCCTAGACTACAGCTACATACAAGACTCTATTAAATTTATTTATGTATATGTATTCATGTGCCATTTGTGCAGGTGCCTTCAGAGGTCAGAAGATGATATTGGATACCCTAAAGCTGGAGTTGGAAGTGGCTGTGAACTGCCCAGTGTGGGTACTGGGAACTGAACTATGGTCCTTTGCAAGTGATTATAACTGCTAGGCTGTCTCTAAGACATGAAAAATGATTTTGTTGATGCTGGTTTTCTCAGTTTAGGGACAACACCATATGGAGTTTAAGACAACACTAACCATCATACCAGTTTTCACCTTTTGTTATTCTGCCCACTGTGAGCCACATTGTGACCTGAGGCCTGTGGTAAACTGAATGCCTCTAGCCTCTGGCCTTCAATCTTATTTACTAACAGCGCCAGATGCCTAGGCTACCATAGACTGTGGGGTTGCATGTAGCTGAGGGTTTAAAGCAGAGTACTTTTCAACAACTGGTCCTTCCTTAAGCCATTGTAGCTCCCAACAATGAACTGTGAGCATTATATTCAGCATTAAGTCCATACAACTGGCTATATAAGGGCCCTGAGCAATTAAAGAGATGCTGTGTGGTGACCTGTAAATGCTTGGCATAGCATTTACTCTGGGGGGGCATGAGTGGGTTTCCAAAGGTTAAGGAGGAATTGGGGCTTTACAGTGGCCCACAGAGGGGTGGCAACTGCTTCTATCCAGTGGATATCTTACAGGCTTCGGGGCCTTTCTTTCTGAAAGTTTAGGGCCCCTGTCTGAGGTCAGACAAGTCATATTATCATTTTTTAAGTTGTTGACAGTTATGCTGCTGTCACATTTCAGATACACTGAGTTTGGCTGGGACATAGGCAGTTTTACAAAGAGGCCACTCCAAACCAAGTGTGAACTATGTACAATATCTGTTGCAGAGGTAGTGGCCTTGCTCTTCAGCTACCTGGAACTGTGTTACCCCTCAGTAACTGCCTAGGAATCCCGAGTCTCTTTAATTGGGGCAGTAGTCCAAGCCTGTCTGGTGCCATAAACTGAAGTGCATGTGGCACTGGGAAGTTATTAGGAGAGCTTGGGAAGTTAAGGGCAATGCGTGCCTCTGAAGCACAAGGTGCATGTTTGTAGGTACATATTGCTGGTGCAGACAGAGGGAGCAAGGAGATGTTTCCAGACCACAGACAGCGAGTATTAAGCATACTGTGCCCATAGCACTAATCCAGAGCTAATTTTCTCAATTACCTTCATGGTTTAGGTTATCGTTGACCACAGGAAAAATAAACCAGAAGTTGTTTATTTGTTTTATTCCCAGCTTGGTTCAGTGTAGTCCAAAGTCATTTCAGACCACATTACCTGGTCTGTCATTCGCTTATCACCTCCTGGCAAATATCTGTGTGCAAGGCCAATTGCAGCTCTGTGAGAAGGCTCTTCCATAGTGGGGGTTTGAGGTAGCAAGAGGTCAAGTGACTTCTGCATCCTCATCCTCTTCCTCTCCCTGCTTCTAGTTCAACTAACTTCAGTTTCAGCTGCAGGAACAAAGGTGGCAACTCTAGTATAGACCTCTGCCCCTACCAGCAGCTACAATCCCAGGACAAATCAACTGTCATGCAGATATGGAATTCTGATTAACTAATAAAAGTGGCATTCCACTCTTCTGGGGTACCTTCCTGGCACAAGGATTGCATGTACTTGACTTCCATAGAATTTCCTGCCAATTCCTGCCTCATCTCTGTCTTGACAAGAAGCTCCTGGTTCCTCTCCTATGTTCTGTTCTGCCCTGGGGGGCCCTGGAGAGCTGCCTCCTTCCCTTAACCTTTCAGAGATGATGCAGGCCACATTCCTTTAACCTACCAATTAGGTGAGAAAGGCCTCAGTCTAAAGTTGAGGTTGTGGTTAAAGGAACAGCCAGAGTTGCTGAAGAAGCCTTACCTTTCTCAGTAAAACGGCCTGAGCAAGGTGTTTGATAGCCATGCATGTCCACTAGCTGCTTCTAGTCACAGTTAGGAACACTGAGACAGCTTCTTGTTTGCACTGTCTCCAACAACCTTGTGGGGCATCTGGGAGCCTATCAGCTGAGGACTGGCCCCCAGAATGACCCAGATGTCAGACATACCCTGAATCCATATTGTAACATTTCAATGACACAATGACTATGACCCTCATAGTAGATATGGGCACTTAGATAGGGTAAGGCTTCCCAACTTAGGGCAGCCTTCAAGATGGGTGCCACAAATACCCTGTTGCCAGGACCAGCTCCTTTTGCATGACTGACTTGGTTTGGGGACCGATGGAGCCAGAATATGCCATGCTCATGGCCTATAATGTTATCTGCTTGCAAAAGATACCAAATTTAGAAAGGAAATTCCTTCAAGGTCTTGGGTTGTTTTCCTTTTCAGTTAAGCAGAAATGATGGGCTGGCCTTGCTTCAAAGGCAACTTCAAAGAGGAAAAAATTCTATTGGAAACTTACAAAGTGCTAAGTATGGACAGAGCAGGAGTGAGCTGGGCCAACAATACCTTCTCAGAACCAGAGCAGAAATCAGATCACTTCAGAATTAAGGGTCATAGTCCCCAAAGTCACACAAAATGGAAAAAACTTTAATTTGAAGGTCACAGGCCATGGGAGTAGCAGAACATCCCAAGGCAGATGATATGAAAATAAAAGATGATTTGAAGACACTGGTGAAAATGAGCCACAACAAACGTGTATAGGATTTATACATGAAACAGTAACCACAACTAAAAAAATAATGAGGATTAGTAATGTTCAGTTTTTTTTTCTTAAGCTTGTTGGCCAATTGCTAGTTTTCTTTTGGGGATGGAGATTCAGATCATTTGCCAGTTTTTAAAATTGGACTACTTGTTTTACGGTGTTGAGTTTTTTTTTATATTTTACATGTGAACTTTTGAATCAATGTTTGTAGAGGGTGAGGGGTAGGGATACGATTTCATTCTTCTGCACATGGATACCAAGTTTTTCAATATCATTGATTAGACACTGTCCTCTCTTCAAAGTGTGTTCTTGTTGCTTTTGTAAAAAATCACTTAGCTAAAAATAATACATTTATTTAGGGGTTCTCTTTTTTTGTTCCATTAGTTTATGAGATACCATTAGATCATAGTTAGAATGACTGTTATAAAAATAAAAATATCTGATGAGGATGGGGAGAAAGTGACTCTCAAACTCTGTTGGGAGAAATGTAAATTATATAGGTATTAGAGAAAACAGCAGGGAGGTGCCTCAAAAATCTACAAATAGAACTATCATGTGATGCACTCATTCCAATACTGGGTATATATTCAAAGAAAAGGAGTGAGTATTTCAAAGAGGCACCTGCACTCTCATGTTTAATGCAACATTATTCATAATTGCAAAGATACAAAATAAACTTAAATACCCATGGATAGATTAATGATGTGATAGCCAGCTTTCTATTTCTGTAACAAAATAATCTGATATAATCAACTTAAAAGGAAGAAAGGCTTATTTCTTCTTACAGTTTTGGAGACTTTTTAGTCATGGTTGATTGGCCTTGTTGCTTTGGGGCCTAAGGTGAAGCATTACCACATTCTGGAGAAAAATGCATGGTGGAGTGCCACGCCCGCTGTGCAGCTTGTATCCGAGAATGTGGCGAGGGTGTCGGGATTGATGACACAGAGACCAGTCGGTTATGTTAAGAAAACTTTATGCTCCCCAAGAAGGCTCAAGAGAACTTCCCAAGAAAGGCTTCCCTCCAGAAAAGCTTCTGCCACACACATACATTTCCTCCTCCTGGCTGGTGGTTATATGCCCCTGACACCAGAGTCGGCAGCAGCAGGGGGCAGGAAGAGGCAGCTAGCCATTGGAAAGATCAAAGTCAGGGTGTTTCAGTGAGCGAGCTGTTACCGGGAACTTATAGCTCTGGTAAACATTTCTTAGGGTACTGGATTGTTTTCAGTAAACATGTTTTCAGTAAACATCGTCTCATAGCTGCCTGCTCCCAGGCTGATGGGGAAGTGGGTCTCCGGCCAAGGTCTGTTGTTCCCACAGTGGAGCAAGCAGCTCACAGTATCCAGGAAGCAGACAAAGAAGAGTTCAGTATCCCACAGTACGATATCTTTTTCTTCATCTGTAATTCAAGGCATTTTTACACATTGTTCCAGAATATTCGAGTAAGCATGGTAGTTCCTTACATGTTAGGAACTAATACTTCTTGTAGGTCAATAATTACTTCAGTTGTATTTAAGTTTCTTTCTGTTTACACATGAATGAGTATAAAATTTTCAGTTAAACAGTATATACCCCCATTTCTATATACTCACATACATTGGGCTGTAATTCAAAGACCCCTAAGCAGCACCAATTTAATTTGTACCATTTCATGGTCATTAGTATATTTGCAAAATTTTAACATCACCATCATTAATGTACATATATTTTTACTACCCCAAAATAAATCCTCTTCCTTTAGTAGTCTTTGCCCGTGTCTCTGTCAGCAAGTCACTTTCCAATTCTTCTGGTCTCAGCCACTCCACTGGCAGCTGATGGGGGACATCCATCTGTATGCTGCGAATATATGTTTCTCTTATTGGCTGATGAATAAAGCTGCTTCAGCCAATGGACAGGTAGGATGTAGCCAGGCAGGAAGTACAGGCAGGGCTACAAGACTAGGAGAATGCTGGG